TTAAGAGTATAAGCTGTTGTGGGGTTCATTGATAATGTCTTTGTCCATTGGCCATCTTCAGCACCATTGGGCTGGTGACCAGTGAGTCACTAATCTATTGACCCCTAGACAATGGTGTGATGCTGTGTTTGGTTGAACTCATTTTGCTCTGCATCCTGCTATTAATATACTTATATAGACCCTTTTACAGTTTGCAAACAATGATGACGTACATAAGTGAGCTCACCCAGTTTAGCAACAGAAGTACGGCAGCTTGTCGAGCTCTGAAGGACATTAACCACCAAAGATCACGAACCAAAACAAATAGACTTCCCAGATCCATGTGCTCTTAGTGAGCGGGTAGAAAGTGGCCCAATATTTAGTGGCCAGAAACCTTGCATGTACTATTACACCAACGAGAAATGATGAGCATGCATATCACTAGATGCTTTGAATTATGTTATCTGTGGTGATTTATACAGAAAGTCAAATACAACATCGACTCTGAGGTTTAACTCTATTCATTTTTAAATAGGGCGCTACAAACACAAGCATTTTGATCAGTCCAGTGGTAGCCAACACGTTTTCATAGCTTGCACATGTCGCCGGTGTTTCAGTTTAACAAGTGACCCTGTTAACTGGTGACCTTCAGTATAATACGCCATGGTTGCTCGTAGTGACGGCAGTTGTTGAAAACATAAACAGAACATCAGCCTTCAATAAATTCAAATACATACTCATCTGTGTTTATTATCTACGCCAACTATTAACGTACGTTACTACGAGCAACCATGGACGTATTTGCCTGAAAGTCACCAGTTAACACAGTCACTCACTAAACTGAAACACCTGTTGCTCTGAAACGGTCGTGATCCTGTCGAAAATTCTGTAGAACTTGAGTCCGCTGTTAGAATGTCGATTCTGTCAACCAAACAACCGGACATTACGATGCTGGTGAGAGTTTAATTTCAAAGTTCAAAGCTTGCTAACTCGTCTAGCTGGCTGGCAGAGTATAGATTTCAGATGAAAATACCTGGATCTTCCGGGTTATAGACATCTCTTTCCCAATGTAAATCTATATAAAACTATTTAATAAATGAATCATTTCAAATTTTCTTTGGTACTTTTGCCATATAAAGACATGCAATGATGATTGTCAGGTGATATGTATGCTGAAAATGAAAAGTTCAATATTAACCAGTGGCGGGCCGTGCATTTTATACCTGGGCCTTCACTGCTGTCCTGCAGCTGAAACACAGCTACGGTTATTATTTGTTTCGTGTAAAACATGACGGTGCCGAACGTACGTGCCTTCACGTCAGAGTCAAAACACCAGAAAAGTCTCCAACACCACCAGAACAAGTCGCTAGATTTGTCGCTAGTAGCTTTTGACAAAAAAAGTCTCCATGAGGGTTTGTAAAGTCACCAGATATGGCGAGAAAGTCGCCAAGTTGGCAACACTGGCACCGGCTAAATATGTCCCCAGAGCAACATTGGACATAAGAATGGTTCCTATCACATATAAAACCAAACACAAATTCATCTTCATAAAAACAAGTTGTACAAATAATAATATATAAACAAGCATATTAAAGCTACTGCAGATGAAAAAACAAACATTTAACTTATCAGAGCTGCTGTTCACTATTTAAAGACAAAGTCCATCCTCCTTTCTTTGTTAATAAAGAGTTTAATCTCACGGTTGTTCAGTACATCCGTGTCTTTTAGTTCCAGTAAGAAGTCCTTCTCCATTCATGGACGCCAGTGAAGACAGTCGAGCCTCCCCAGTTGTATTTCTTGAATACGTTTTAATGCGTTTGAGGCTGAAAATGTCCGCTCAGCAGAGGCAGCAGATATTGGGATTGTCACCGCCCAACATGTCACGCTAGCCCACTGACCAATCACGTACTTGTAGGCCAGCTAGCAGGCTCTGACACGTCAAAGAATACGCCCAACATGTCAAACTAAAGATCTGATTGGTTGAACACTATGACAATCAACAATATCGTCCCCATTCACTTAAACTGCACATGGATGCACTTGTGAGTCTGCAGGCCTCTGCCTCTGTTCTTACCTAGAGACACAGAGGTGAAATCTGATTGGATAAAAGCTCTACTTAAAACAAGCTGCACTGGAAGCAGAGCAACTGAGGAAGACAGTAGCTGTGCATTGAGAAAATAAGATAATGGGAAAAATATTATAATACATGTAGTGTATTTATGAAACATTTTTAACTGATAAAATAGCTATAACTTTGTGATTCTGTTTAGGCCAGCAGAGAAGGCTTTGCAGGCCCTGATGGCCCACCACTGGTATTAACACAATCTTCGCTAGTATTACTTGGATAGACAACAGAAGTTGTGGTGTAGGTAGGCCATTACTACTAAAAACGTTTTCAGCTCCACCCAGCAAGGTTTATCTCAGCTGATCGCTCTGTGTACTCCAGTGCCTCTAGGAAAAGTGTCTTTGGCTAAAGCTCCAATCGGTGGAGAGCAGAATATAGAATTGAACAAATGAGTGAGTTCATAGACTTCCAGTCTGTTTGACCCTCTGGGATTTCAAATGGATTAAAATAATTTTCCACATGCCTTATCTAATGATGACAGGTCTCTAAGCAACGCGGTCTCACCTTCTAGACTAACGACACAGCGCATGTCGACCGTGCGGAAGTGTGTGTTTGTGTGTGTGTGAAACTGTAATGAACCGGTCTCATTATTTCTCAAGAGGACATAGCTTGCTTTGTGTCTCCCTCACTCGTCATGCAGAATCATCATACACAATGCAACATGCACACAAATGCACGTAGTTACTCTCACACAAAAAAAAGACACACATGTAAAGAGGTAATCCAACCTAAACCCACCAACAACTCCAACAAATTTGGCACACACACTCACGGACACATGACATCAGTAAAGTGCATTTGCTTTGTGATGTGGGTGACTCAGCCCTGTGCTTTGTTGTTGGGTTACCCTTACTCACTTCCTTCTGCTCCAGACAGTAACAGGCAGAGGACACTACTACAGTCTGATAGGGCAACAGCTTTTTGGCTTCTCCATAGATGGCAATTGGACCCTGTTATCACATTCTCTCAACTGAAAGTCAGTAAGGCTTGGACATGGATGGATTACTGAAGGGGCCATTCAGGCACTGGCCCAGGGCCTAAAGTGTCAGGCTCCTCTTGCCTTCACCTAGAAAATGTCACTCAAAGACCCACATACCAACTACGAAGAGACACAAAACAACTACAAGGAGATGCAAAACAGCCTCAAAGAGACACAAATAGACTCACAACAACTATGAAAAGGAGCAAAATGACCTCAAACCGAAACAAAATAACTGCAAATAGATACAAAGCAGCTACAAAGAGATACAAAGGAGCTACAAATAGATACAAAGCAGCTACAAAGAGATACAAAGGAGCTACAAATAGATACAAAGCAGCTACAAAGAGATACAAAAGAGCTACAGATAGACACAAAGCAGCTACAAATAGACACAAAGCAGCTACAAAGAGATATGGAATGACTACAAAGTGACAAAGAATTACCATAAAGATACACAGGACAACTACAAAGAGACACAAAACGACAACGAAAGGCCAAACAACCATAACAAGTGTCTTGCTTCTGGTGGGATGGGTGGTAGGATCTTTTGCATGTCCGTGCCCGGAGGCAATTGTCTCATAACATTTTCAGGGTCCTGACAATGCCCTCTGCCCTTAAACAGGTGGTATGCCCTCATACTTCATTGATGATTGCCTTCCACAATGTTCTGTACAAGTTCTGAACTGGCGCTCATATCAGAGGTACAACAAAAAACTTTTCAGTTGTCTGTGCCTGCCAACGTCTACCCATACGACCATTACAAAAATGATTCATATGAGCGTCTCCTGATGTGTCACCTCTATCTTAAAAGGACCCTATGGCCTAATACAAATTAGATTTTGTTAGTGTAATTAAATGCTCACAGATCTGGGAACACAGCAGCATCACTAGGAATAGGTCCAACCAGCCTGGTCTCATTCACAGGCCGCCAAATACTAAGGTTTTGTCACGGCCTTCGGTGTCTGATACCAGTGCACAAGGAACCCGTCAGCGTCTGTATGAGACATAACAGGCTTTCAAGTGGCCCGACCGTAGTGGAGCGTCATAGTTTGATTCACAAGGGCTGCGTGTTAGAAAGTGACACCAAGGGCTCCTGACCAAACATCCGTACGTGACGAGTTGGGAATGAGAACGGGTTGGGACAAAGTTATTTGGAAGAGAAAACGAAGGATAACTGTTGAACTGTTGTCATTGGCCCACAGCGGCAGCAGAAACAACCCATACAGTCGGCTGTGAACACAGAGATGTCTAATTCGGCGGCTAGCAGCTAACAGTGCTAACATTACAAACAGTGTATTGCTCAATCCCATTTCAGTTCATAGTGTTTGCATTCTGCAATTGTTTTGAACTCAGTCCATAAATTATTGAGCATGTATTTGAAAGGGCTTTTCTGATATTTTCATCTTTTTAATCAATCAATTCTTTTAATTAATATATTTTCTTCAATAGTTGCATTCATTTGATTTATTTAATTCAATTGTCTATGTCGTGCAGGTTCAGAACAGATACAGTATGTTCTAAGAGTGCAGTCCTCCTTTAACAGAATGAATGGATGAATACGCTTCAGGCATCTGTGGTGTCAACTCCTTGGTCTCTGCGAAAAAAATCACTAAGCAATCTCAAAGTGAGAAGTCTGCAGGAAGGGAGGATGTGAAGTTAGACGGGGAGGGCTGTGGTGAGTTCAATGGCCTGTCTGGCCTTTCCCTCTGCAACTATGTTCCATTCCTAGGATATCTGGGAAATGTAGTCTCAATGAAGTGCAAACTAACCTAGTTTTGTAATGTTTTGAGTCTGTTAGCAGAGGCCCCGATCCCTCACAAAGATACACGCATTTCTATCAAATACGATCCGATCATGTGGTGTTTCACTCTTCATGTTTACGTGAGTAAGTGTACTTTTACATTGTGTGATCAAACTCCACATCCCACGCTGCTTTGAGTTTCGCGCGCATGCTCCGTGCGCGCTGGAGAGGCGGCGAGTCAGTAAAAATGACTGGAGGAGGGCTCTTATCTCGGGGCGAAATGAGATATTACGACCATGAATTGCGTTTTGTTTTCATTAAAGTTGCATTTTTGTCTTTTTTGAACGCTGGCTGTCCAGCTCCGGAGGACGTTTGGTAACATTGAAGGATTTCAAGGCATTTTAACACTGTTTATCTTCGCGTCGGAGACTCGGAACAGTGGCAGAGACACACCGCTATCCGTTAGTGCATTCCCTCTGCCACAATGCCGCGGGACAACACAACTCCTCTTATTCAGAAAATAGCAAAGCAAGCCTACATCACCTTTAAAGGCTTAACGTCGTCGGCTGACGGGGACAATGAACTCGCCGCGGACCAGCAGAGTGAACTACTCTCCTTAGTGACCGCGGTCAGGGCTGCTGACCTGAAAATTGCTCCCCGGAAAACCAAACCGAGCACCGGGGCAGCGGAGCTCCAGAGCCCCCCGGTCACCTACATGCACATCTGCGAGACGGAGGCGTTCAGCATGGGGGTGTTCCTGCTGCGGACCGGCGCCTCCATACCGCTACACGACCACCCGGGCATGAACGGGATGCTGAAGGTCTGCTGTGTTCTGGCCTCTTTGACCCACTCTGTGTCCGCCTAACCCTAACGTACTGTGATTAAGCTAGCTGCAGCTAGCTAGGGAAATGCTCACAAGCCTGTGTTTCAGCACATAAACTGAGACGTGACTTGAAACTGTTTCGTAAGCTTCCATTCAATGAGGGTCATCACACGTTTGGTCCACCCGAGGTTATTGTGTCCCATGCTACCTTTGCTAAAACCGAGGCCAGGGCGCTAGAATAGTAGTGTTAGCCTGTATTTATTGTTCTATCGCAGAGATTGCATGTAATGTGTGTAACCACCACTTTACAAACACATGTGCGCTCTTCAGTCCGAGTGTCCTGCTGGGCCCCTGTGTACACACGGCCTGAACAGTAGTGATGCTGTCCCCGGCCCTGATCCCCCTCTGAATGCTAATTGTGATTTATTTTATAATTTGATTAATTTGCAAATTTGCTGGTGAATTTGCATCACTGAAAGACAAAACCAACCAAAGCGGGTCCGGAATTGACAGCTCATTTTGTGGCCCTGTCTTGTAGAGGGACCCTGTGTCAAAAATCATCTTCAAGAGCTTTATTATTTATCTTCTTATGCTCACATTGTGCAGATTCCTGAACAAGTTGTGTTTGATCACATTACCTCAAACTAATGAAAATCAAATATGATTCACACAGGACTTAATGGAAACTTGAGTGACCGGGTCCATGAACAACGGGGGTCAGTAGGAACCCATCAAATTCTGATCTTGGGTCCTCCTGTGGCCTCAACCGATACGATCAACTCCATTGATCCGTGCAGATACCGATCTTGTGAAACTGATATAGTAGAAGCCAGAAGTAACCAATCCATGCAGTTTGACATCATTTTATAAACTTTGTAGAACAGTGTAATGTAAGAGAGTCTCTCCACTCACTGTAAGTATCACCACAGTGGCCATATGTGCTGTGTGTTGTCAGTAGGTCTGTCTTCTGACTGTGTCCTGTCTATTGTTCAGGTTCTCTACGGGAAGGTGAGCCTCCGCTGTCTTGACAAGCTGGAGGATAACCTGACCGCCGGCACCGTCCCGCCTCACTTCGAGCCCCCGTTGGCTCCGTTCCAGACGGCCTCCCTGCGGCGCTCCATGCTCCGCTCGGTCGCCGAGTACTCGGAGGATAGCGGGCCGTGCCTACTCACCCCTCTCCGGGAAAACCTCCACCAGATCGACACGGTGGAGGGGCCCTCCGCTTTCCTGGACATCCTGGCACCTCCGTACAATCCAGACGACGGACGGGACTGTCACTATTACAAAGCTCTGCAAACTGTGGCAGAGGGGGGACCGGATGGAAAGAGCGACGAGGAGCAGCAGAGAGAGGAGACGTGGCTGCTTGAAATCCCACAACCAGAAGACTTCTGGTGTGGCGGGGAACCCTACCCAGGCCCTGCAGTCTCTTTCTGAGTGCAACCTCTGATCAGAGGAACTATACTGCAGTATATGACGGTAATGACATCGTGATATCCATCTATCTACAAGAGGAGACTTAGGAAAGTCAAACATGACGGTCATTATTACCTGGAACTCAAAGGGATTGGGTGCCTTGCTCGTGGGTGCTACAGCAGGGCTCTGACATGCCCCACACAGAATAAGCACAACAGCACAGCCTTCTACAATACATCGATAATGTTGTCGCTTGCATTCCTAATATTTTTCTTCTCACCGTTATGTTGCCTTATACACACATGAATGTCATTAGCCAAACATTCTGTGAATGCTGGGGTGTCATTAGGACGTCTTATCCTCCGTGTGGAAAGCCTTTTACACATTATTTTTTCCTCCACGTCGTGACATGTCTCGATGCCAATGCGTGCAACTCAAGACGCACCTGCCTTATTTGGAATGTTTAGTTATTAACAGTGTCATTTTCTAATGCACACCCTTTATTTCTTCTTCCTAAGTGCACGTGCTAATCTATCTATCTATCTATATATATCTATATATATCTATTTTTTTTTTTTTTTTTTTTT